GGAGACATGTCAAATATTCTCTAAATTTTTTAATCCGGTTAGTTTTATTATCAATTGATGGACCTTGCTTCATTACAATTTTGGGCTGTGCATTATGGTGATTTTTCTGATCATGTCATTGTTTCTGTGCTTTTTCTCTTGTTAAAAAAGAATTCTCCCATTTTTTACTATCACTATAGAAATATGCTTTGTATTTTATTCAGTATGTTATAATCCATTCGTATCTATTTTGTGTGCTTGTGTGCCTGCCTGTGCACACATGTGCTAAGTGCGTTTGGGGCCACTTAAAGTTTATTCAAGCAAGCTCTCTATGAGCACTTCCTTTCATTTATTGCTTTCAATAGAATTTTTTTCTTTGATTGTTATGGTTTGGATATGAGGTATCCCCCTCAGATCACCTGTGTTAGTGTAGAAATGTTAACAGGTATTGTAAGAGCTGTAACCTAATCAACCCATCCTAGTTTGAATGGACTGGCAGGTGGGTTGTGTCCAAAGGAGGTGAGTCACTGGAAGTATGCCCTATAGGATTAATCTTCCATGTATCCCCTTCCCTTTATGCTCTCTCTGCTTCTTGGCTATCATGTCCTGAGTAGCTATCCTCTGCCATCCCCTTCCACCATGATGTTCTGCCTCACTTTGGGCCCAGTGCAATGGAAGTATCTCTAAAGTCATGAGACTAAACAAACATTCCCTCTTCTGAGTTTTTCTAGTCAGGTATTTTGTTTACAATGACACAAAGTGAACTTGCAAAGAAATTATTATCAAGAAGTAGAGTCACTGATGTGACTAACCTGAATATAAAGTTTACACGAATTTGGGGATAGTTTTTTTGGGAAGAGTTTGAGAAACTTTGGAGAAGCAGGCTGGAGAAGTCTTAGAATTTTGTAACCAGAGCTTAATAGGTGATTCGGGTGGGAGCTCAGAAGACCAGAATACAGGTAGAAATGTGGATTGTGCTCAAGAGGTTTCAGAGGAAAATGAGATTTCTACTGGGAACTGAACTAGAAGTCCCTCATATTCTGGCAAAGATTTTGTCTATGGGCTAATTAGTCAGTTGAGAAAATTTTAAGGCAGCACAGTATCTATGCAGTGGTATAGATTTTGCTGGCATCTTTTAACCAGATTTACTGTGAGAAATAGGAACAGAAAGCAGGGATAAATAAAGGATATTAAAAACTTGCAGTTTGACCTGAAAAATGCATGTAAAACTGGAACTGAGAAAATGATGGTTTTTGAAGAGATTATGGCCACTAAAAAAGTATTAAATACTTTCTCAGAGACAATACAAAAAGATGGCTGAGGGCATCTCAGGAATTTACAAGACCATACCTATTGTAAGCTCAAGTATGTACAAGGGAAAACGCCTTTGAGAAGATATGATGGGTGCACCCTGCTTGCTCAGGGGGCCTAGGAAGTTTTTTCACTGTGCTCAGCTGCCCAGGCATTCAGAAGCTGCTTCAGTCATGATCCCCAGGGGCTGAATAAATTCACAACCTGGAAGAAGAACTTTGGACCATCCTTATGGGGCTTATTTTTCAGGGATGCAAAATTCTGAACTTAGGGATCATTGAGGTTCCTTTTCAAAGGAAGGCCTAGGAGGCGAAGCAAAGTGTAGCAGGAAATCCCTGTGGGTTTCCCATGAGAACATAATGCCTATAGCTGTGAAGGTAAAGCCAAAGCTTGAATGCAGACACCAAGAATAAATAAATGCCAGTAACATAGACTGTATACCAAGAAAAGCTGCTGGCTGCTGAGACAGCCAGGCTAAGAAAGAAGGCCATGAGCACAACTAGCACAACCAAAGGAGTGGGACTCCCAAGCCCTTTGGAGAATACATCTCCTTGCCATGTGTCCTAGACACTTCACAGAGTTATTGGGACATGTTTGCCCAGCTGGTTTTTGGTCTGCTTCGTTAGATATGAGTGTTGCTACTCCTGCTTGCTTTCAGATTCCATTTGCATAGAGTATCATTTTATATTCTTTCACTTTCAGTCTGTGTACGTCTATCTTGGTGAGGTGTATTTATTACTATTATATGGAGTAGGTACTAGGGATTGAACTCAGGAACACTTGACCACTGATCCCCAGCCCTATTTTGTATTTTATTTAGAGAGAGGGTCCCACTGGCTTTTATCTCATGATCCTCCTGACTCAGCCTCCCAAGCCACTGGGGTTACAGGTATGCACCACCAGAAGTGTATTTATTGCATGTTATAAAGAGTTGGATATTATTTTTTAATCTATTCCACCAGTCTGTTTCTTTCAATTAGAGAATTAAGGCCATTTACATACAGGGTTATTATTAAAAAGTATGTACCAATTCCTGTAATATTTGATGATTTTCTATTTCTCATTTCTAATCTACTCCTCTAGTGAGCATTATTCTCTCCTATGTTCTTGTAATTGTGTATGTGTCCTTCTGTGTGTAAGAATCCTTTAAGTAATTTCTTCAATACTATTTTAGTGACTATTAATTCCTTAAGTTTATGCTTATCTTGGAAGTATTTTATTTCTTCTTCAATTCTGAAGGATGGATTTGCTGAATATGGTAATTTAAGTTGTCAGTTATTTTCTTTCATGGCTTTATATACATCATTTCCTGCCCTCCTGACCTTCAGAGTTACATCTCATAAATCTTATGGTATTCTGATGGGTTTACATTTATAAATAACTTGGTGTTTCTCTCTTGCCAATTTTCTTCAGTATTTTCAATTATTGCATTATAATTATACATAATGGTGGAATGTGTGGTTATTTTCATATATGCACAATATAGCAATATAAATTTGGCCAATATCATTCCCCATTGTTTTCCCTTTCCCCTCTATTCCTCCTTCCCCCTAGTCACTTTACTTCACTCTATTGATCTCCCTTCAATTTTCATCAGATTCCCCACCCCCAACTTTTCTTTTCCTTGTTCTCATCTTTCACAAATGAGAGAAAACACTTGACATTCTGAATTTGGCTTACTTCACTTAATATCATCCATTTTCTTGCAAATGACATAATCTCATTCTCCTTAATGGCTGAATAAAACTCCACTGTGAATATGTACCACATGTTCTCTATACATTCATCCATTAACATCACTGAGGTTGATTCCATAGTTGGTTATTGTGAATTATGCTATTATAACAAGGATATGCATGTATTACTAGATATAATGATGCTAATTCTTTTGGATAAATGCTGAGGAGTGGTACACCTGGGTCATATGGTAGTTCAATTCCATCTCTTTGGGAAACCTCTATATTGATGTCCATACAGGTTGTACTAATTTACAATCCTACCAGCAGTGTATAAGTGTTCTTTTCTCCCTACATTCACCAATTTTTATTATTACTCCTATTTTTGTTGATTTCCATTCTAACAGGAACGAGTTGAAATCTCATTGTAGTTTTGATTTACATTTGCCTATTTACTAAAGATGTTGAAGATTTTTCAAAATATTTTTATACTTGTTAATGAACATTTATTCATTTATTTATTTTTTATTTATATGTGATGTTGAAAATGGAACCCAGTGCCTCACACATACTAGTCAAGTGCTCTACCACTGAGCTACAACCCAGCCCAAAGGTGTTGAACATTTTAAATATATTTATTGACCATGTGAATTTCTTCTTTTTAGGAATGTCTATTTGATTAATTTGTCCATTCATTTATGGCTTCAACTTCACAGCTTGTTATAGGCTTTTTAAGGTTTTCTATATCTTCTTGGTTCAACTTTAGTATGTAATATGTGTCTAAAACTATGTCCATTTCTTCTAAATTCTCCAATTTATTGGAATATAAGTTTTCAATATAGATCCTCATGATCCTTTAGATTTCACTGATTTTATCTATTGATTGCCTGTTTTCAATATCATTGATTTTTGCTCTAATATTTATGTCTATTTTTTGGCTTAGGTTTGATTTAGCTTTCTATTCTTTTTGCAGTTTCCTAAGTCAGAAGCTTTAGATCATTAATTTTAGATCTTTCTTCATTTCTAATATACAATTATTCAAGCTGCCTGGGTAGTTTGGTCCTGGGAGACCCAGGAGATGCAGCACCTGGCTGGGAAAATTGCATACTACTGTGGGAGTATAGTTTCATGATGGTAGAACCATAGAGATGATGTAACTACTGGGTACCAAAGCAGCATGCACTTTCTCAGTGACTCTGATTTCAAGATGCCACAGTGCTCTAGCATTGCATTATGGAGAACAAACCACAATGTGGGTTCATGGACTGCAATATTGCAGAATAATCCTTTATGAAACCTGAAGGTGTTGGAAACAGTGGTGTGAGCCAGTGGGAGCCCCTGGCTTACATTTTACCTGAAAGAAAGAGTTACTCCCGGTTCTGAGATGATACCAAGTGGTATTATTTTGTAGCAGAGACAAGGTATTTCCTTATGGTCTCTATGTGGTCAAACTGAATAGTTGTGCTCCACAGTGTTTTTGCCACTGACCTCCTTTTTATAGGGGGTTACAACCATTAGGCAGTTTTGATTTGCCAGCTTGCTGATGTTCCTCTATTAACTTTCATCCTTGGGTATGATTTTTGTTTTATATTTTTATATTTTAGACAAATAATAGATTTAATTTGAGAATATTTTAATTGGTTTTATTTGAAAATAGGACAATTTTTCTGTATATATTATGAAATACATTTTGCTGTTCTATTGGATATAGTCTATTTTCTTTGGGGGTCTTGTAGACTTCCCTTACTGCTGTTGTTAAGAGCATGTTGTTCAACAGCTTAGATAGTCTTTGTGGTCATTAAATTTTTAGCTGATACACTAAATAATGTCTGAAGGCAAGCATTATTTAAGAAACCTATTTGTTCTCTTCAAAAAATATAATTATGACATATAAAGATTTCCATCTTCCCCTCCAAAAATGCCCTTTTTAAATCTTTCTTACTAAAAGATAAAGGATTTTTTGGTGTGTTTTCTTACTATTATACACAAATATAAGAATCTGAGAAAAATTTGAAAAAAAAAAATTCTACTAACCTTTGAAGTGCCACAATCACATTCTTCAGTACCTTCTATTATTCCATTGCCACATATTTTCCTTTGTGCTTCTACCTGAACTGGCATATCAAAAGGATTCTTCTCAAGACATGAAAGGCCATGTTTTGAGGTTAAATATTTAAAATTATCCACACTACAAGTGCTGAAATCCTTTATACCAGCAGCATAGCTAAAATATAAAAATATGGGTATGACAAAAATCATTGCTGTATATCTCTAAATATTTCATTTTTTTGGAGAAAAATTCCAAGAGCATTCATTTATTCTTTGTTGAAAAAATAAGTACACTTCTAAAAACATCAATTATATTGCTAATGCTTTAACAAACTTTTATAATTCCACCAGGAAAAAAAATTAATATATAAATATATATATATATATATACTTTTTTTTCTAAAAATTCTTTTCTGTCATAAATAAGAACCAGTGTTGGTGACCCCCTCCCCCCAATATCTGTAAGGGATTTATCCTGAGGCTCCCTGTACTCTAGACTCAAATATCAAAATCCACAAATTCAAAAATCCTTTAAATATATATGAATACATAAATTTTAACATATGTATATAAATAAAATCTCCTATGGCCTTGGAGTTTTTAAATACAAGAACTACATCATTCTTATTTCTCTTTCTAGTGCCAAACAATTGAATTTTTAACTTTTGGCCTCAATATTTAATATATTTTATATATTTAATTACATTTTTGCTGTTTCTGTAAATATAAGAATGTTAGTGTTAATATTAAGAACATATTTTTTGCCCTTCATAATTTTAAATTTTCAAATAAAAATTGGTTATAGATTTAGCATTGAGAAAATATGGCATAGAATTATTTTCCCTGCTTCTCCTTGGTAAGTATAAAACTTTGAAAATAATGCAAGAATCTATGAAGAATTCAGAAAAATCAACTGATAGATAAATATGTTTGGACCCAAAGGACAAGAGGAAGGGCATAGTACCTGGGTATATCTCCCCACTAAATAAAAGATGATCCAGGTTTAATATTTTCAGAATCACAACCTGGCAACAAAAGGTAGCTCAGATACATTCCCTCTTTCCCAAGACCAAATGTAAATCCCACTGAAGGCACAAGGTAATCCTGGCACCACCAGAATGAGAGATCAATTAGAATCACTGCTTATCCACTATGGGTGAGATTGTACATTAATTAGTACAACTACTACAGAAAACACTGTGATTCCTCAGAAAACAAAAAATAGAATGACCATGAGATTCAGAAATCTCATTACTGGGGATATACTCAAAGTAAACTAAATTACTGTGTCAAAAGACATCAGCATGGTGTTCATAATAGAAGGAAGATCAGCATATCAAAATCTCTGGGACACTATGAAGGCAGTACTAAGAGGAAAGTTTTTGCACTGAGTGCATTCATTAAAGAAAAAAAAGTCACTTGTTGACCTAACACTTCATCTCAAAGCCCTAGAAAAAGAAAAACAAATCAACACCAAAAGCAATAGAAGACAGGAAAAAATTAAAATCAGAGCTAAAATCAATGAAATTGAAACAAAAGAAACAATTGAAAAAATTGACAAAACAAAAAGTTGGTTCTTTGAAGAAAATAAATAAAATAGGTAAACCCCTGGCCATGATAACAAAGAGAAAACTCAAATTACCAAAATACAAGATGAAGAAGGAAATATCACAACAGAAACACTTGAGGTATAGAAGATAATTAGAAACGATTTTGAAAATTTATACTCTAATAAAATAGAAAATCTGAAAGACATAGACAAGTTTCTAGAGACAGATGACCTACCCAAACTGAATGAGGAGGTCATACCTGATTTCAACAGATCAATTTCAAGTCATGAAATAGAAAACACCATCAGAAACCTATCAAGCAAGAAAAGCCCAGAAACAGATGGATTCTCAGTCAAGTTCTGCAAGACTTTCGAAGAAGAATTAACACCAATACTCCTCAAAGTATTATATGAAATATTAAAAAGGGAACTCTTCCAAACACATTCTATGAGGCTAATATCACTGTGATACCAAAACCAGATAAAGACACATCAAAGAAAGAAAATTTCAGACCAATATCTCTGATAAACATAGATGCAAAAATTCTCAATAAAATTCTGGCAAATCAAATACAAAAACATATCAAAAAGATAGTGCACCACTATCAAGTGGGGTTCATCCCAGGAATGTAAAAAAATTCCACCAGAAAACTTCTAGAACTAATAAATGAACTCATCAAAGTAGCAGAATATAAAATCAACACCCATAAATCAAAGGCATTTCTGTATAGCAGTGACAAACCCTCTGAAAAGGTATGAGGAAAACTACACCATTTACAATAACCTCAAAAAAAAAATTCTTGGGAATCAATGAAAGAGGTGATAGACCTCTACAACAAAAACTACAGAACACTAAAGAAAGAAATTGAAAAATACCTCAGAAGATGGAAAGATCTCCTCTACTCCTGAACAGGCAGAATTAATGTTGTCAAAATGACTATACTACAAAAAGCATTATACAGATTTAATGCAATTTCTATTAAAATCCCAAAGACATACTTCATATAGAAATAGAAAAAGTAATCATGAAATTTATTTGGAAAAATAAGAGACACCGAAGAGCTAAAGCAATCCTTAGCAAGAAAAGTGAATTAGGAGACATCACAACACCAGAACTTAAACTATACTACAGAACTATAATAACAAAAATGACATGGTACTGGTACCAAAACAGACTTGGAGACCAATGGTACAGAATAGAGGACACAGAGACAAACCCACATAAATACAGTTATCTCATAATAGACAAGGGTGCCAAAAACATTCACTGAAGAAAGGATAGCCTATTCAACTAATGGTGCTGGCAAAACTGGAAATCCATATGTAACAAAAATGAAATTAAACCTCTATCTCTCACCTTGCACATAAATCAACTCAAAGTAGACCAAAGACTTAGGCACTAGAACAGAGACCATGCACATAATAGAAGAAAAAATAGGCCCAAATTTCACCATGTCGGCCTAGGATTTGACTTAACAAGATTTCTTAAGCGCAAGAAGTAGAATCAAGAATCAATAAATGGGATGAATTCAAATTAATTCTCAGCAAAGGAAACAATCAATAATGTGAGGAGAGAGCCTACAGACTGCAAGACAATCTTTACCACATGTACCTCTGATAAAGCATTAATCTCTAGATATATAAAGAACTCAAAAAACACCAAAAAACAAATAACCCAATCAATATATGGACTAAGGAACTGAACAGAACACTTCACAGGAGAAGAAATACAATTGATCAACAGATATATAAAAAAGTGTTTAATATCTTCAGCAATTAGAGAAATGCCAATCAAAACTACTGTAAGATTTCATCTCACTCTTGTGAGAATGGCAATCATCAAGAATACAGGCAACAATAAACATTGGCAAGGACGTGAGGAAAAGGGTACACTCATACATTGCTGGTGGGACTGCAAATTGGTGCAGCCAATATAGAAAGCTGTATGATGATTCCTCACAAAACTGGGAATGGAACCACCATTTGACCCAGCTATCCCACTCCTTGGTTTATACCCAAAGGACTTAAAATCAGCATACTACAGCCACATCAATCTTTATATAAGCTCAATTCACAATAACTAAGCTATGGAACCAACCTATGTGTCCCTCAATAGATGAATATATAAAAAAATGTGGTATATATACTCAACGGAATATTACTCAGCTCTAAAGAAGAGTGAAACAATGGAATTTTCCAGTAAATGGAAGGAGTTGGAGAATCTCATGCTAAGTAAAATAAGCCAATCCCACATAACCAAAGGCCAATATATGGATGCTAATTCACAATAAGGTGGGGGGCACTAGGGAAGAATAGCATTATCTTAGATTAGGTAGAGGGAAGTGATAGGAGCAGGAGAGGAGGGGATGTGGGGACACTAAAGAGAGCAGAATGAAACAGACATTATTACTTTATGTGTATATGTGACTACATGAGCAATATGATTCTGCAACATGTATACTCATAAAAATAAGAAATGATATCCCATCTATGTATGATATAATGCATAAATGCATTCTACCGTCATGTATTAATACAAATTTAAAAAACAAAAAGAAAGATCAGTAGAGTAAGTGGATCATGGGAAGTGAAAGGAAAAATACTAGGTTGAGATGGATCAAATTATGTCATGTGCATGTATACATATGAATAGGACATAATGAATCCCACTACTCTGTATGACCATAATGTACCAATAAAAATAACAACAATGATAGCAATAATAATAATACCTGTACTCCCATGTTTATTACATCACTATTCTCCACTGCCCAAGATATAGAATCAATCTAAACATTAATCAATAGATGAAGTGGTAAAGAAAATATAGCATATTTTTGCAATGGAATATTATTCAGCTATAGAAAGCATGAAATTCATTTACAATGTAGGACATTATGTTAAATGAGTGAGGCATAGGAAGGCAAACATCACATCATCTTATTTATTACTAGAATACAAAAAAAAATATGTCATAGAAATTCAGAGTAGAACAGTGGTTACCAGAGGCTGGAAGAACAGAGGAAAGGGGAGATAGTAAAAGGCTCATTAATGAATACAATTTTACAGTTAGATAGAAAGAATAAGTTCTGATCCTCTCTGGCATGGAAAGGTGAATATAATGAGAAACAATGGATTAATATATCTCAAAACACTTAGAAGAGAGGATTTTGAATGCATTCACCATAAATAAACAATAAAAGTCTAAGATGATGGATATGCCAATTACTCAAAGTTGAACAATGCCCGATATAGGCAAAACATCATAATGTACCTCATAAATTTGTACAAACACTATGTGTCAATCAAAATAATAATAAAATAAATATCAAGAAGAAAACACAAAAGGCAAACAGTACAAATGAGAATGTTGGGTTGGATATACTGTTGTACTATGTTGGTGAAAACTAAAACTAGAGTAACCATTATTGTAAATAGTCTGGAGGTTCCCCAAAAAATTAAAAATAGAACTACCATATGACACAGAAATCCCACTACTGGGTATATATCCAAAGGAAATGAAATTAGTTTGCTGAAGAGATATCTGCACTCACATGTTTATTGCAGCATTATTCATAATAGCCAAGAATATACAGAATCAACTTGTGTTCAATGGATACATAAATTAAGAAACTATGTCATATGTATATGAAAATACTACTCAGCCACAAATAAAAAACAAAATGTCATTGGAATTTTAATATGGATTGAATTAAATCTGTAGACTGCTTGGATATTAAAGACATTTTAATGAGAATTTTAATGAGCAATGACTGTGTTTCCATTTATTTGTGTCTTCTTCAAATTCTTTCACCAATGTATTATAGTTTTCAGTATATGGATCTTTCACAATAACTACAATTTCAAAATTTACATTGTTTGATTATAGAGGGTGTCCTTAAACTGGTCACAAGAAAAAAATACAATCCAGATTCCAGCAAACAGGAAAGATGAAGGATTTCCCCAGGCATAGAGAATCCTGACAGCACATGGCCTATTTTGGTAAGTGTTCTATTCACATTTGAAAAGAAATTTAATTCCAAAGTCATTTTGGGTAGTGTTCTATCATTGCAAATCACTTTAATTTGATTAGTACAAATATAATGCTAAAAAGACATATAACAAATAACATTATCTTACATTGCTTTTGGTGTCATTGTGCATGTTTCTCCTGAGCAATAGCAGTGGGCACTATTATCATAATCCAATCCAATAGTAACTCCGAGCAACTGAACAATAGTGACAGCAAATGACTCCCAGGATAAACCCTCTGAATACTAAAAACATGAAGAAAAAAAACTTTTATTAAGAATTATGATGTTATAAAATAAAGCAATATTAACTATAATGAAAAATTAGTATATTTAAAGCTCATTTTTAAACTTATTAACATATTCAAGGCCCCTGTGTAGATGTAAGTTATCGTAGGGTTATATAAACTTTTCAGGTAGACTTATTCAACATGAATTGTTGAGAGCCATCCATGGGCTATGTGTGGACTACACTGGCACCACAGCCTAGTGAATAGGAGAATCTTGTGTCTGGGAATGTCCACTGGAAATTTCCTCTGGACAAGACCACCCAGCTACATTGTTAAGTCCTATTCAGCCCTGCCCCAGGTCACACACAGCATGGGAGATGAGATGACCTGCTGCAGCCCACAGCCTCTCAGAGATGGGTATGACCTGCCAAGATGCCAATCAATATGCTGACTGCCAGACATCACTAAGCAAGACTACGCCCCTAAAATCGTATCCCTGCCTTTGATGTACTATCTTAAATAAGCCACAGGAGCCATTTTTTAGTTGTCCAGATCCAGCTCCTGTGTGGGCAGAACTTATCAGGTGCTCCATCCTTTAAAACTTTAATTCTGACTCTGTTTTTTGTTCTTTACTAATTATTTTAGACTTTAAGTTCTTCATACGTTTTATTCCTCTGAGCAGGCAAGAGTTCCCTGGTGAGGTGCTGGCCACCCAATGATAATGAATGAGTCAAAATAATAATTAAATTTAATTTCAAAATACTATTAATTACTGACAACCCAAGTGATCCCAGCAAATCCAATGACCTCAAACATCACATTGGCATTACTTTAATATTTCATTTTAATAATCAGTTTTACATTCCTTCTCTAGTAGGCAGCTTCTAAAATGGGTCTCAATCATCCTTGCCTCATTGTATTCACATCTTGTGTAATTCTATTCCAAGATTTCATTAATGCATTGCACATTTCAGTCTACCCTCAAAGGAGAGTTAGTTATTTCATATTCTGGAAAGCTGTTGAACCCATGCAAGCCCTCCTTTCCCATCCCAGCTTGTGATTAAAATTAATTAAGAAATAAATGGAGTACAGGAAATATTTTTTTACCAAACCTTGCACACTCCATTTCTTCTACTCTCCAAAAAAGAAAATATTGTTCACTTTTGATTGGTAAAAAATACAAATTAGCTAAGATCCCTAGGAATCTCAAGGAAAAAAAATAATATATAAGATACATAAAATTAGTACAAGCATTAGAAAAGAGAGCAAAGCAGATTCAAATTCACCCTTCTATACTCTATAGATCATGAGACAAAGATACTGAAGATTATGTTTCCTATGTTTTTGTCACCAAATTATTGATAGATGGAAGGAAGAAGAGATTCTTTTCTTCTCATATACTGTTGCTTTTGTCAGCCTTGCCCAACCAGCAGCATTTTGCCTCTAAAGTAGAAGTTTATTCCAGTAATTTCAGCTAAATTCAGGATAAATAGTTTCACAGATATAGCGCCTTCCAGTTCTATCATAACCCATCCAAACCTAGATTTTAAAAGTAGCAGTAGCTGGAGACACCACTTCTGCCTCCACTGGCAACTTTTGAAAAACCCACAAGTAACATCATAATCAATGACAAAAACTGAAAGCTTCTCCTCTGATATCAGATACAAGGCAGGGATATCCACATTCACCAGTTCTCTTCAACATAGTGTTGGAAATACAAGCAAGAGCAATCAGACAAGAAAAATAAATAAAACACATCCAACGGGGCTTTCAAGGTGGAGCAAGTTGGTTGCTCCATGGTGCCAAAAAACAGATAGGCAGCTTCTCAACAAGGTGGGTAAACAAAAAAGGGAGCAGAGAACTTTACTGTAATTTAATACTCAGCATAAAGAATATTAGGGACTCTGGAAGTTGGATTTAATTAAATAAGGAAGAAACCTCCAGTGCCACCTCCACTGCCACAGTGGGAAGCAATAGCCAGAGCAGTCCCTCCACAAGCAAAGTGAGGGGATAAGGGAGAATTAAAGGAATCCACATTTTTAGGAAGCCCGAATCATGTCTGGATATGAAGAGTTTAGAGATCAAAGACACAGCCCAATTGAACTGAAAGGCATGATGCACAATATATTTGTGCAGGAAAGAACCTGCATCTCTCCCAACCTTGTGCAGAGGTCACAGGAAAGAACCATTTTGCAGCCAAGGAATTGGGGCCGGCAACTAGGGGAGCCAATTCCTAGCAAACCTGAGTTCGGTCTCAAATACAAGCCTGGCAAAATCACACTGCAAGACATACAGTGTACTTATGTAACCAGGAGAAAAATCAAACATGGAAAGGGGTTTACATAGAATACTGGTTGTGGAAACCCACCTGCTTTTGCCCTTCCACTCCAATATGGCTGCTTGCAGGAATGGCTGGGAGAGGCATGCCTGGCTGGGAATTTGAAAGAGCAGGGACAGAAGAAATTGAGTTTGCAGACTGAACCAGAGACCAAGAAACATGAGATCCACAGATGACAGAGTGGCCTAAGAATTCACTCCTTCACCACATGAGTGGAACCCAGGGGAGATCCCTATGGTGTAGTCTTCCAGTGTGGACCAACAATTTCTGGGCCCTAGAGGTGCACTGATTTAAAATCTCCAGACCAAGTGGCATTCATCAAAGTGCCTGGAGCCTACCTAAGCCTAAACCACCTCCAGGAGTTTCACCTATGAGATTACCTCTCTCACTCCAGCAACCCCTGCCCCCAAGGGTGAAGGCAAGCTTCAAATTCCAGACAAGCCCATGTAACACTGTTGAGAAGGGAAGCTGATAATATTCTGAACTCCAAAAACAAAAATTCTTTAATTTTTCATTGAGATCCTTTTTTTCTTTTCTCTGTTTAATTATGATCTTAATGATTCATGGACCTTCGTACATATGCATATTTGTTTTTTCTCATTTCTACCTATTTGAAGCCAGTTATTTTTTATTGACCAGTATTTTGAAGACAAAGATGATTGATCATTTTATTTTTATTTTTAATTTTTAAAATTTTCACCTTATGTATATTTTTTCTCTCACTAATCTGTTTCCCTTCATTCTCTTTCTTTCTTTTTTTCTGCTAACAATCTCTACTATTCTTTCTTTCATTCTAGCTTTAATTCTTTACTTCTATCTTCTCTCCTTCTTCCTCATAAACATTACAACCTACATCACTTCTACTGTCTCCCTATCCACCATTTGAAATTGTAAACTCTTTTGCAAACTTACTGTTTTATTGTAGGCAATAACTGATCATGTTATTTCTGTTCATTGTGACAATTAACATTGTAGATGTCATAGCAGGAGCTATTTGGTTTAATGCTGTATATTGTTTGCATTGGTTGTTGATATTATTTGTACCCACCCTAAATGGTGAGGTACTGGAAACTATCAGGGACACTATAAGTCCACAAGGCAGAAACACTACTATGTCAAGTCCACATTCATAGATGGGTAGACACACAAACAACATGAAAAAGCAAAAGAACAAATCATCCCAAACAAATCAAGATGCTCTAATAACAGAATCCACTGACACCACACTGAAAGAAATGTCAAAGAAAGGTTTTTAGAATGTACATAGTTAACCTGATCTGCTAAGTAACAGATGGTATAAGGAATGAAATCAGTATATATTATTCCAAGACCTCAAATCTAAGAGGTCGTCTTGGAATAACATATACCCAATCTCTGAATGAAAATGAATGCCAGCCAAGAATATTACACTAAGCAAAATTAAGCTACAGAATTGATGAAGCAATAAAAACCTTCTGTGATAAACAAAAGTTAAAAGAATTCACAACTAGAAAGCCTGCATTACAAAACATACCTAATAAAATATTACATGAAGAAATGAAACATAAAAGTGAAAACCACCAAAGGGAGGAAGTACAACTAGAAGAATAGTCAATCAAAGAAGAAACTAATTCAAACTAAAAAACCAAAAATAACTCAAAATGACATAGAATAAAAATCATTTCTCAATAAAAATATTGAATATAAATGGCCCAAACACATCAATCAAAAGACATAGGCTAGAAGATTGGATTAAAAAATGAGATGCAACAATATGCTGTCTCCATAAGACTCATCTCCATAGATAATGACATCCAGACTGAAGCTAAAATGATGGGAAAAACATATCATTCACATGGATTTTGTAAACAAACAGGATTTATTATCCTCATATCAGATAAAGTGGACTTCAAGCCAAAGTTAAACAGAAGAGACAAAGAAAGACATTTTATACTGCTTCAGGGAATTATACATCAACCAGACATAACAATTGTAAATATTTATGCCCCAAACAATGGAGATTCTACATACATCAAACAAACTGTTCTCAATTTCAAGAATCAAATAGACAACAACACAGTAAAACTGGATGACTTTAACAAAACTCCATCACCAGTGGATAGATTCTCTAAAGAAAAACAAACAAAAAAAGAAGCTATAGAACCCCAAAATACAATTAATAATTTAGACACAACATAACAGATACATATAGAAAATTTAATCCATCAGTGACTGAAAACCATCTAAGTAACAAATGGATCTCCATAAAATAGACCATATCTTAGGCCACAAAGAAACTCTTAGCAAGTACACTGAAAAAGAGAGAGAGAGAGAGGGAGGGAGGGAGGGAGGGAGAGAGGGAGAGAGAGGGAGAGAGAGAGAGAGAGAGAGAGAATACCTTCATTATTATCAGGTCATATGGATTGAAATCTGAAACCAACAATAAAATAAACAATAGAACCTACTCCAATACTTGGAGACAAAATAATACCATATTGAATGACCAATGAATAGCAGAAGAAATCAGGGATGAAATTTTACTTAACTATAAATGAAAATAGTGATACAGTATATCAAAATCTCTGGGATACTATGAAGGCAGGTCTAAGAGGAAAGTTCATTGTATTGAGCTCATTCACTAAAAGAATAGAAAGTCACCAAATAAATAACCTAACATTATATCTCAAAGTCCTAGAAAAAGTAGAACTAATCAACACCCAAAGCAGCAGAAGACAGCAAATAATGAAAATCAGAGGAGAAATAAAGAAACTAAAACAAAAAATTAATGAAACAAAATGTTATATCTTTGAAAAAATAAATAAAATTGGTAAAACCTTAACCAACCTAATAATGTGAGAGAAAACTTACTGAAATTTATAATGAAAAAGACACCACTGAAATAACAAAAATAATCAGACTATTTTGAAAATGTATACTCTAATAAATTAGAAAATCTTGGAAGACATTAACAAATTTTTAGAGACATATGACCTACACAAATTGAATCAGGAGGACATAGAAAATTTAAACAGATCAATTTTAAGCAAAGAAATTGAACATGTCATCAAAGCCTACCAGCAAACAAAAGCCTAGGACCAGAGGGATTCTCACCTGAGTTCTATCTGAACTTTAAATAGAACTACCCCCAATCCTACTCAAATTATTCCATGAAACGGAAAAGGAAGGAACACTTCCAAATTAATTTGATCACCATGATACCAAAACCAGATAAAGATGCATCAGGAAAGAAAACTTCAGACCAATATCCCCAATGAACATAGATACAAAAAATTCTTAATAAAATACTGGCAAATTGCATACAAAAATGTATTAAGAAGATAGTGCACCATACTCAAATGGGGTTCATCTCAAGCATGCAAGGTTGGTTCAACATATAGAAGTCAATAAATGTAAACATCAATAGACTTAATGACAAGAATTTCATGATTCTATAAATAGATGCAAGAAAAGCATTTGACAAACTACAGCATCCGTTCATGACCAAAACACCAGAAAAATTAGGGATGATACGACCATACATCAACATAATAAAAGCTATATATAATAAACCCAAGGCAAACACCATTCTAGAAGGAGAAAAATTGGAAGAATTTCCTCTGCAAACTGGAACAAGACAGGGAGACCCTCTTTCACCACTTCTGTTCAACACAGTACTGAAAAACCTACCAGAGCAATTAGAAGAAAGAGGAAAAGAAAACCTCAAATTATCCTTATTTGCTGACTATATAATTCCCTACATTTAGAAGACCATAAATCTCCACCAGAAAACTTCTAGAACTCATAAATGAATTCAGCAATGTATCAGGATATAAAATTAACACTCATAAATCATTCCATTCCAATATACCAGTGATGAATCAACTGATGGAAAATTATCCCATTCGCAATAGCCTCAAAGAAAATAAAATATTTGGGAATCAATCTAACAAAAGAGGTGAAAAACCTCTACAATAAAAACTACAGAACACTAAAGAAAAAAATCCAAGAAGACCTTAGAAGATGGAAAGATCTCCCATGATTCTGAATAGGCAAAATTAATATTGTAAAAATGGCCATGCTACCAAAAGAACTATCTATATACATTTAATGCAATTACTATTGAGGTTCTGATGACATTCTTCAGAGAAACAGAAAAAGCAGTCATGAAATTCATTTGGAATATAAGAGACCCAGAATAGCCAAAGCAATCTTCAGCAAGTAAAGCAGGAAGCATCAAAATACCAGACTTTAAATTATACACTGGTATAGAAGATAAGACATACAGACAGAACCACATAAATACAGTTATCTCATACTAGACAAAAGTGCCATAAATATGCATTGGAGAAAAGATAGATTTTCAACAAATGGTGCTGGGGAAACTAGAAATCCTTGTGTAATAAAATAAAATTAGAACCCTATTTCTCACAGTGAACAAAACTCTTCTCAAAGTGGATCAAGGACCTAGAAAAACTACACATAATAAAAGAAAAAGTAGGCCCAAATCTCCATCATGTCAGCTTAGGAACCGAATTCCTCAACAAGACTCCTAAGGCACAAGAAGAAAAATTGAGAATTAATAAATAAGCTTTTATAAAACTAAAATGCTTCTTCACAGCAAAAGAAATAATCAAGAACTCAGAGGTATACACAATGGAATAGTACTCAACCTTTAAAAAGAATGAAATTATGGCATTTGCCAGAAAATGGATGGAACTGGAGAATATATGCTAAGTGAAATAAGCCAGGCCAAATAACCAAAGACCGAATGTTTTCTCTGATATGCAGATGCACAATGGTATGGGGGTGGATAGAATAGAGGTATTTTAGACTAGACAGTGGGGAATAAAGGGAGCAGAGATAAGAATGATAATAGAATAAATTGGACATTATTACCCTATATGCATATATGATTGCAATTTGGTGCAATCAATCTGGAAAGCAGTATGGAGATTCCTTAGAAAACTTGGAATGGAACCACCATTTGAAGCAGCTAACCTCTCCCATCTCTACAACCAAGGTACTTAAAATCAGCACACTATAGTAACCAAACCAACATTTATAGGAGCTCAATTCACAATAGCTAAACTATGGAAGCAACCTATGTGCCCTTCAATTTATGAATGGATAAAGAAACTGTGGTGTATATACTCAATGGAATATCACTCAGCATTAAAAGAGAATAAAATTATGACATGTGCAGGTAAGTGGATGGAGTTGGAGAATATCATGCTAAGTGAAGTTAGCCAATGCAAACAACCAAAGGCCAAATGTTCTCTCTGATAAGTGGATGCTGATCCATAATGGCAGGCGGGGGACATTGGAAAATGGAGGAACTGTGGTTAGTCAAAGGGGAGGGTTGGGGAGCTTGCATGGGGGCAGGAACGTTGGTGGAATGAGATGAACGTTATTACCCTAGGTACATGTATGACTGCACATATGGTAGGACACTACATCTTATACAACCAGAAAAATGAAAAGTTGTGCTGCATTTGTGTATAATGAATCAAAATGCATTCTGTTGTCATATATACCTAATTAAAATAATAAATTTGTCACTCAAAGAAAAAATACAAGTAACAATCAATGTTGGTGAGGATGTGGGGAAAAGGTGCACTCATACATTGGTGGTGGGACTGCAAAATTGTGCAGCCAATATGGAAAGCAGTTTGGAGATTCCTCACAAAACCTGGAATGGAACCACAATTTGACCCAGCTATCCCACTCCTCAGTTTATATCCAAAGGACTTAAAAACAGTATACTACAGTGGTGCAGCCACATCAATGTTTATAGCAGCTCAATTCACAATAGCCAAGCTATGGAATCAACCTAGGTTCCTTGAACAGATGTGAACAGATGAATGGATAAGGAAAATGTGGTACATATATACAATGGAACATTACTCAGCCACAAAGAAGAATGAAATTATGGCATTTGCTGATAAATGGATGGAAATGAAGATTATCATGCTAAGTGATGTAAACCAATCCCCAAATGCCAAAAGCCAAATATTCTCTCTGATATGAGAATGCTGACTCACAATAGGTGGTGAGAGGTAGGAGTATCAGTTCACTGAATTGGATGGGGGAAATAGGAGGAATTAAGGGGGATCAAAATGAGAAACACAGTAGAATGAATCTAACCTAGCTGTCCTATGTTCATATATGAATACACAACCAGTGTAACTTCTCATCAAGTACAATCACAAGAATGGGAAGTTATATTCCATGCATGTATGATATGTCAAAATACATTCTACTATCATGCATAACTAATAACAACAAATTTTTAGAAATCAGACCTCAAAAAAAAATTAAAAACATTATTTTCAATGGCACCAATAATCCAAACAAGTGCTGATGGTTACTTCTCAAATACTGGTTGAGAGATAAACAAAAGCAAAGATGGAGAAATAAAAACAAGTGTCTAGGAAGTGTCAGATTATTCTATAAACATAGTAAAACATAACATCACAAAATAGTAATATTCAATAGTAGATCTTTAGTACAACATTCTGCTCCTCCCAAACATAATGCAATAATATACTAATTACCTATTAAAAATACTAATTTTTAAAATAAATAGTATATAATGTATACCAATAATTAAACTAGAAAATCAAAACTAAAGGATGAACCTAAAATTGCAGTGGTTATATAATTAATATTGAGGACTAGCATACCAATGTTCAAAAAGTTAAAATTTGAAAATTTGACTTACAAAGACCAAATATGCTTTTTAAAAAAAAAAAAATCTGATATTGAGGAGCAGACGGACTATCCAATATTATCTTTTTAAAGCTATGTTTAAAGTTTAATCTTAGTGTTCCCAAGTACTAATATAAAAGCTATACAAGAATTTGTAAAATATTAGCAATATATTTATTCATGATTTAAAATACTTAGGAAATTTTGAACATAAAAATAGTGGAAGCAAATTAGATAATGATTACATACCAGAGCAATTCCTGCATCAAAATTATTTTCACATACTTTTCCTGGAAATGTAATACCTACAGAGGCAGAATGTTTCACAAAGCTAAAAAACAATAAGTTTACTCATAAGTGTATTTAAAGTAGTATTACTAAAGATAATAGCAAATATTGTTGAATATTTACTGTTGTCAAACAACATGCTACCCTCAATTACGCTTAATAAAGTTTTTTTCCAAGTTTCAACATTAAGAACATTTCAATATATCAATTTTGAAACATCTAGAAATATAAAGGATGAGACTTAATAATTTATGCAAAATGTCATTGCACTAATGTTATAGTTTTCATTCTGGTTCACTTTATACTTGCAGCCTAAAAATTCAATTTTCTCTGACCTAATTTTTAACTTAGTCACTAAAGATGAATAGATATTTTTTACATTAGAGCCTAGATAGTATGATAATTTAATATATTCATTTCATTAGAAAATAAAAATATAAGAATTAATTAGATAAGTGACAAGAATGGAGAGATATAACAGGGAGTAAAAGTTTATAAGCCAAAGGAAATCAAAGAAATTGTATCGCTCATGCTTAAGCTCTTTTAGTTATTTCATTTCCTTTTATTTGATTTTACTTTTTCATTATTGCTCAGTTTTTTAATTTTATTGTGGCAGTAATAACATGCAGTCTCCCTTCTCATCAAAATTTCAAGTGTTCATTACAGTACTTTACAAATATTGTACATTTGGTAGTTTCATATATTTCAATAAAAATTTTAAGTTTATCTCATATTAACTTGATGACAAGGACTTTAGCTTATGTTTTTTCATATCCCATGACATCCATCAAATTAGTAGAACAACATATATATGTGAAACATGCTTATTTTCCTTATTAACATATAAGGTAACCTTGGATTATCCCTTTAGTATTATGAAATGTAAAACACTGTACTTACGCAAATAAATATGAAATGTTATTATGAAATTTAAAGTTGTCATGTTTCCAATTTAAAAATCTAAATAACACATTCTCAAGAGCTCCTACAGTAGAAATTTTGTTTTTATATGACCAGATTTCAATAGAAGATAGTATGATAGTCAGTTTTAACTGAGCAAGCATCTATGGGTCAAAGATAAAATGAGAAATTTTAAGTAAATTTGAACATTCAATTGAACTTTTATAAAAGCATATTTAATATGATATTTTGGTTACAGAAAGTCTTCAAGGGCACAGCAAGCTACTATACACATTAATTCATATTACCTATATTTTTAAAAAATATATAAATGAAACAATTTTTTAAAACTTACAGTGTTAACAAGGCCAATGACATGAATGACCTTCTGTGTTACAGTCTTTACGTCAGAGCCCATATAATCAAACTGAAAAAGATAAGTTATTTTTAAAAATGAGTTTATGTTTATGTTCACTTATAATACAACACAGTGAATTCCTCTATTATGTATAATGCACCAATAAAAATTTTTTAAAAACTGGTGGATGTAATTAATATATCACATCCCTTCCAACTGTAATCTAGAAAATAATGATACATCATTAATAACAAAAAAAAATTCAATAACATAATTGTAGCAATGTTCAATGCTCTTAACTTTGGGAACAAGATGGTAACCAAGGTGCTAGGTCTATTACATTCTCATACAGATATGAATTCAAACAGCTATTCATGTACCAATCTAGCTTCACAAGAAGATGAGGAAGCCAGGTAAGAGACAACAGTGTCTGGTTTTAGTATAATAAAAGTGAGAGAACAGCAAGGCGCAGTGATGCACACCTGTAATCCCAGTGGCTCCAGAGATTGAGGCACGAGGATCACAAGTTCAAAGCCAACCTCACCAAAGCAAGGTGCTAAACAACTCAGTGAGATCCTGTCTCACTATCAGCCCTTGTAAACTGTAATTTTCAAGGACTCTTCTCATCATATCTAAATCTTCAAGTTTTCCCCACCAAAAAAGAAATGCTTATCATAACCCTTGACATTCTTTATAGACTATAGGATTTGTACTCATTTTCCCATTTTTATTTCTTATATTTTTTTAATAGAAAAGGATAAATTTCTTGACTAATCTCACCATTGGTTTATCAATTTTATTAGTTTTCTACTGTACCAAACTTCAGATTTCAAATGATTTCTCTTTTTTCTATATCCATAACTTGTGCTCCCTAACCTTATTTCCTGTGTTCTACTTTCTTTTGGTTTAACTTTTTCTTTTATTTCTACTGTCTTGACATAAATGTCTTGATTATTTATCCTCACTATTCCTATTTTCCCAGTATTCACTTAATGGCCAATGAAGGCTTTAACTGAGTTTATGAAATTGATATTAATACTGGACACATATTTTTTCTAGTTTCTACTCTTTTCTCTGATCATAGGTTATTAAGAAGCTTAATTCCAAAAAGACATGAATCTTTTGATAATATTAATAATAATAATAATAATCTTTTTGATAATACTTTCTAGCATAAATCCACTGCAGTAAGAGAACACATACTATAAACATACTAACACATGGTTATGGTTAACTATGGCTATTATGGTTGGCATCACATGTGGCCAATTATAGTGGTCTTAGGCCACTATAATACCTCAGCAGTAAGAACCATAGCAATATGGACTTTGGACATAACCAATGCTGAGCTGGTCTCAGCAGGCCATGGACTTCAGTGTGTGACACAAAATTGCCACATTCCTGGCCATAAGCATAACACAGGAGCTTGGGGCTAGAGTTCCTCAGTTCCTGACCACAAGACAATGATTGTGGGTGAGGTATTTGGGCTACCCTTTCTCCAGGGAGAGGTTTGTAGGCACAGACTACCCTTTCTAGGTCCCCTCCCCCAATTCATTTTGAACAACACATCAACTACAGAGTTGGGACAAACCTGGGCTTGGGCTGGACAAGTTGCAAAAACAACTGACCATGGACCACAGAGCTGGAGATCCTGTAGGAATCCTGTTCCAGAAGCTGGGCAGCTGCCTATCTTTCCCCCACCTTCCGTGGAACCTCTCCATTTCTCTTAGCTCCTGCTCTTGCACTTTGACTGCACCCAGGATTTAAATCTTAGACTCATTTCCCACAACTCCACAGTCACAATGCTGTCTGACTCTTCATTTCACTTCAATTCTGGGTTCCTTGGTGAAGACTGAGTATTTAGGGAGAGGCCAAACCACCTTGGGCTAGACCAACTGAGCATCCAGGAAAGGCCAGTACACAGAAACAAGAGGGATTCTACTGATGACCCTCAACCCCACTTGATTACAAGAAAGGGTGGAGTTGTTTTTTGTTTGTTTTTTAAGAATTGAGGAAGATGGCAGAGCAGATCTAAGTAGCAAACCCCAACCCCTCACAGTCCAGAAAGGAAGCAGTGAAAGAACAACTACCTAGTGGGGTTATGACTGGACAGTTTGAGACTTGAAGTCTGGTTACCAGGGAAGAAAATAAGAACAAAATTCCTGAACCCTGAATCTGGACCAGGTTGGGATCAGATAAAAGGAGTAACAAAGAAAGAAAGAGGAAGAGGAAAAGCACATAAGCTAACTCCCTTAATGACAGTTCAAAAGAAAAGCAGACCAAGTTAAAACATGATAGGATAAGCAAATACAGTGAAGAAGATCAAGCAGCTTAACTCAAATTGGGTTCTGAAAGCTATGCTGGGCACGGCAACCATTTTGCAGTGACCACAGCTAGCCAGCCTCCCTAGAAGAAATTAAATCAATACAGCTTCTCCCCACCTTCAGACAGCAACAAATAAAACCAGCAGGAATACCTCTGAGATGGCATATCTCAATGATCAGTCTAAAAGAAACTTGCAGAGATAACTACTATCTGGAAGTTACTGAACCCCCTCCCCATCACAGCAGACAAGGGGAATAGGAAGCGCCAGAGCTGAGAGCTCATCACTCCCAGGGAGTGTTAGCCCTGACCAAGCACCCAACACAACCTGCATGGGAGCTCAGACAACCACAGCTGACATTCCATCTTCATCAATGAGGACAGATAAAAAGCCCATGAGCTACACCACACAGAGGCTTGTGTCACCAACAGAAAAGAAAGAAAATGTGGTGCATATATACACATTGGAGTTTTATTGTGTCATAAAGAATGAAATGTATGGCATCTTCTAGTAAATGGATGAAACTCAAGAACACTATGCTAAATGAAATAAGTCAGACCCAGAACTCAAGGGCCAAATGTTTTCTTTTTCTTTCTATTTTTTTCTTTTTTGGTACCAGGGATTGAACTCAGGGGCACTCGACCACTGAGCCACATCCCCAGCTCTATTTTGTGTTTTATTAAGAGACAGGGTCTCACTGAGTTGCTTAGTGCCTCACCATAGCTAAGGCTGGCTTTGAACTCAAAATCCTCCCATCTCAGCCTCCCAAGCTGCTGGGATTATAGGCTTGTGGCAGGATCCCAGCTCAAATGTTTTCTCTCATTTGTGAAAGCTAGAACAATCTAAGGGAGAGAAAGTGAGGGAATCCTATGGAAATAAAACAGACATCAGTAAAATAGAGGAAGTGGATTGATAGGGAGATAGGAGAGATAGGGAAAGAAAAGATTTGATAAGCTGTATCTTCAATTTTTAATATCTGATTGTTTTGTGGATCTAAATCCACTGTTTTTCTGGGCATGGTGGTTCACGCATGTAATCCCAGAGAGAGGCTGAGATAGGTGGATCATAAGTCAAGGCAAGTTTTAGCAATTTAGCAAGGCTCTAATCTTACTTAGCAAGATTCTGTCTCAAAATAAAAAATAAAAATAGGGCTTTGTGATGTGGCTCAGTGGTTAAATGCCTCTGGATTCAAACCCTGGTACTAAAAAAAATTAAATCCATTGCTTTTTGTTTTGCTAACCACTTTTCAAAGTAAATTATTTCCTTATGGATTATGAGTTCATATATTGCTGATACTAATCTGTAGGAATCATGAGGTATCCTTCTTAAAAGCTGCATTTTTTTAAACATCAATGTCATCAGTTATGGGCCAGAAATTCATCTGGGATTCCTTGGCCAGCTTCTCTCAAGGTCACGCACCAACTTTTAAAAAAAAATTATTCTTTTATTTTCAAGAAAAAAATAAAATTTTCTTCCATCAGACGCCCTCAGTTCTTACCAATCTTGGAAAAATGTAACCTCATGGATTAATATATAATCAAAATCTAAATTTATATAAGATTTGAAGTATAGTCATGAATTCTCAATATGAGAATTTTGTTCATTTGTTTTTCTTTTCCTTTAATATATCTAGAACTAAGAAGAAAACAGATAACTTGTTTTCTCCCTTTGCTTGAAATAAGTGGCATATTTGTTGTGTAGACTTCCCTTCCAATTAGACTAATGCAGTTAAATATTACTATTAGATAGGGGTTGAGAGTTTTGAGGGAGTTGTAACATATCCGTTCCTGGAGGGTATAATCCTCTGACAAAAGAAAAGTAGCCAATTATTTTTAAAAATAGTGCTGGGAGCCCTAAGACTACAGAGGCTGAGGCAGGAAGATCACAAGTTCAAAGCCAGCCTCAGCAAAAGCAAGGCGCTAAGAAACTCAGTGAGAACCTGTCTCCAAATAAAATACAAAATAGTGATGGGGATATGGCTCAGTGGTCGAGTGCCCCCTCTGTTCAATGCACAGTACGAAAAAAAAAAAAAAAAAACAATAAGAAATAACAGAAAGATCAGTAGAAACAAGGGAAGGGAACATAATAAGGAGCGGGGGAGGAAAAGGGGAAGCACTGGGAACTGAATCAGAACAAATTATATTTCATGCTTTTATACTTACATCAAAATGAATCCTATTGTCATGTATAACTAAAAAGAACTAATAAAAAAAGTAGCCAACAAGCTTCAGGAAATAAGATGCTTATCTTGCAAAAGTAACAGATTCTATCTATATACAAAATAGATTAACAAAAACTGCTTACATATAATTTTTTAAATGGATTAATTAAAAATGCAAAATAAATGGATGGAATTTTTCACAGTATCACTGAACTTAAAGATAAATGTCAAATAATTTGAAAATATAATGTATAAAATAGGACATACCAGATTTTTATCCACAACAATATGCAATTCAAGATACCGAGGGAATAATGATGAGGAATATTCATTTTTCTGAAAAACACACAACATGAGTCTTGAGAAACTTATGAAACTTTACATTGTACTGAAATTATATCCAGAGGTAATAATGTGTAACTGCTAACTATAATGTCAGGCCCAGTTTACAAATAGAAAATTTATGTACTATTCAGAGGATTACAGTTCAAAAAGTATTGTGATAGCAAGAGTTTTCAGTTAGACTTTCCAAGCTATATATCTAGGTATCTTACTTTTGTAATAATTAAAATGAATATGTAGGTCTATAATCTAGAGAATTATTTTTCTTATCCTTGTGATAATTATCCTACTAACCATCTATGTGGGCACATTTTCTACTACCAATTTTTAAGAAACTACTTTTAGTTTAGAAAAAAAATTACTAAAGTTTACCATCAGTGGCAGTTCACTACAGCCTATTGTGTTATTTGTGGCAAGTTTATAGGTCTCTGTGGAGGAAAAATTCATCACTTTGTTTTACATGTACCTTATGTAAATCACTAAAATTTTCCATTTTGAATTCTCTTGAAACAAAGACTTATGTTTTTATCTAAATTATCTATAATGGAGGAAACAGCATATTTTATATTACTTATGTATAAGCCCATGTAGGAAAATTAATGTTTTCAGTCCTATATTCACATCTCCCTTTTTTCAAGCATACCAACGAACACAAATTCATTCTCTAATAATTTTAACAGTCATTCAAGTCCTTCATGAAAAGTAAAATAATGATAACATTTGCAAGTCACAAATTCAGCTCTGAAAGCACTTCTTAACAAAATTATATGAAATAAGTGGAAATAAAAGAGTTAACACTTACAGGTATAGCTTTTTTTCCTTCATGCAGTGGTTCATCAGACTCAGCATAAATGACTCTTTTTCCCGAGTGAGGAATATTAATTTGATTACTTTTTTCTTCATAAATAATGTGTATAAATCCTGATAGAGCATCAATTGGTTCAATTCCATATGAAACATCTTTGAATTGCATTATTCCCCTGAATGTTAAAATAATTCAAAGAAAGTCTGAAATGATTCTACCAAAACTATATTTCTAATGAGAAATTTTGGCCAGATTTGTTTTTTTGATTTTTTTTTTTTAAGATTTCAATGTCACCTTTGTTTTTCAACTTTATCCCTTTGGTCTTTGAGGTTTCATATCAGAAACAGACTACTACATCACAATGTATTTTGCTTTCTGTTACAAATATATTTAATTATTTTACCAAAAGCAAATAGTGGCATGGATTTGAGTTCTTACACAGGTGAGCGACCCCCTTCTAGTGTATAGATTTTCAGAGCAAATCTGCAGGGTCTGTTAGTCTTGGGTACCTTTTCTCTGAAACACTAACTCTCCTCTGATACCTAATGTTCATGTGTGCTGAACTGAAGATACTACATGTCTAAAAATGATTGCATGCAGAACCAAACTGTCTATTGTTCTAAGGCATTGTACAATTGGCAATTATTGTACAAAATTAAGAAATAGGTATAGACTGAGGAGTGGGATAGCTGGGTCAAAAGGTGGTTCTATTCCCAGTTTTCCAAGGAATCTCCATACTGCTTTCCATATTGGTGGCACCATTTTGCAGTTCCACCAGCAATGTATAAGTGTGCCTTTTCCCGAACATCCTCCTCAACACTTATTGTTGTTTGTATTCTTAATAGCTGCCATTCTGACTGGAGTGAGATGAAATCTTAGAGAAGTATACAGGCACATCAATGTTTATAGCAGCACAATTCACAATAGGTAAAATGTGGAACCAAACTAGATGCCCTTCAGTAGATGAATGGATAAAGAAAATGTAGCATATATACACAATGGAATATTACTCAGCAATAAAAGAGAATAAAATCATGGCATTTGCAGGTAAATGGATGGAGTTAGAGAATATAATGCTAAGTGAAGTTTTAGCCAATCCGAAAAAACCAAATGCCAAATGTTTTCTCTGATATAAGGAGAATGATTCATAGTGAGGTTGGGGAGGGGGGGCATGGGAGGATTAGACGAATTCTAGATAAGGCAAAGGGGTGGGAGGGGAAGGGAGGGGGAATGGGGGTAGAAAAGATGGTGGAATGAGATGGACATCATGACCCTAAGTACATGTAAGAAGACATGAATGGTGTGAATATACTTTGTGTACAACCAGAGATATGAAAAATTGTGCTCTATATGTGTGATATGAATTGTAATATATTCTGCTATCATATATAACAAATTAGATTTTTTAAAAAAATTTAAAAAGGACAAAAACAGAATTCGGGCAAACTAAAAAAGTTATGGAGAGACCAACACTCCCTATACTCCAGACTCATCAAAGTCAATAAGCAGCAGATCCTTTCAGTATCAACAAAGCCTCTCATCAGGGAGCAATGCTGCTAGGGTCCCAATGTGGTTTTATTAGTTATTCTGATTCATCCTTAGGGAATTGAAATATAAAGGTGATTATAGAGTGAGAAAACATATATGAAGAATTAATTTGTAATTCAAAGACTGGCAAATTGAATATCTTTAAATTATCAACAACCTGAGTCCTGAACAAGTGTTGAGTGTCACAAGAGAATTTATAAAACCTGCAACATATCCATTATAATTGCAATTCATCTGAAAAACAAAAATACATAAAGTAAAACAAGTGGATAAATTTATTTTTAAAATTTACTTCCCAGTATGACATTTATATTTATTAATATTAAAAAATCCTAAAACTTACCTGAGCTAACAAAGGCTCAGAATGTTCGGTGCCATTTTTGTCATAAGAATAAATAAGAGATGATGGAGATAAAAACGATCTAGGCAAAAATAAAAACATGCTCAAACGAAACAGAAAAAGTAGAAAAAAATACTCTTCATATGCAAATTTTCTATGGGTTGAGGAATTCAAAGTTTGGCCAATCAACTGTTTATAAACTATTCTCCAAATATTTCCAACTCAAGTTATAATACTAAAATGCAAGTTAATGAAAAAACAAATTGCTAAACATATAAAGGTAAAATCATGTAGGCCCCATTTCTAGCATAGAACTTTCAAATCTTTGTCTTTATCATTCATTGATTTCATATGTTACTCTTGAATCTCAAAATTGAAATGTAGCATTAGGACTAAATTTTAAAAGATTTGTTTTCTTTCACTACAAATTCATATAAACTAAGCTTAGCTATGCACCAAATTCATTTAGATATTGGTTAAAATTTTCTTTTATTCCTCTCAGTAATCATTCAAATACTTAACACCACTCCTATCAATCATTCCAGAAACTCTCCATGTGCCAGTCCTCACTCCTTCACTTCCAGAGGATTACTTCTTTTTATTTAAAGCAGTTCTTTAGGGGTTGGGGATGTGGCTCAAGCGGTAGCGCTCTCGCCTGGCATGCATGCGGCCCGGGTTCAATCCTCAGCACCACATACAAAACAAAGATGTTGTGTCCACCAATAACTAAAAAATAAATATTGAAAAATTCTCTCTCTCCCTCTCTCTCACTCTATCTTTAAAAAAACTTCTATTGTTAGAAGTTGAATATGGCATTTTCAAGTCATTACCATTCTAAATAACTCTCCCTTGGCCCTTTGCCCTATATTTTTCATTTCTTAACAAATTTTATCAAAAGAATAATTATTATGGTTTGGATGTGAGGTGTCCCCAAAAAGCTCATGTATGAGACAATGCAAGAAAGCTTAGAGGTGAAATGATTGGGTTATGAGAGTCTTACACTCAATCAGTGGAATAATACCATAATAGGGATTAACTGTGTGTTAACTGTAGGTAGGTAGGGTGTGCCAGGAGGTGGTAGGTTTTGGGGTTCATGGCTTTAGGATATATAATTTGTCCCTGGTGAGTAGAGCATTCTCCCCATATCTATCTATCTATCTATCTATCTATCTATCTATCTATCTCCCCCTCCCCCTTCCTAATTGTCATGTCTGACCTGTTTTCCTTCCCCACACTCTTCTGCCTTGATGTTCTGCCTCACCTCAGCATGCCCTCCCCCCACCAGAATAGAGCCAGTTGTGTATTACTGAGACCTCTGACACGTGAACCCCCTAATAAATGTCTCCTCCTTAAAATTGTCCTTGTCATGTCTTTGGGTTACAACAGTGAAAAAGCTAACTAAATCAGTAGTCTAACACATATACTCCACTTTGTCAATTATTAGTCACCCTGAAACTTCTCTGTAAAATATCCATAGTCATGTATAGGTCAAATCCAAAAGATTTAAAATGCACTGCCATATTCAACTTCTGACTTCTATTTGAAAATCAGGACCACTCAGTCCAATCATTTAATTTACATTCACTTCATCCTTCTGCTTCTCTTCCTAATTCACTGGCTGCTCCAGTTTCATCTTCCATGTTAGCTACATTTTTTTTCTACCTATCACAGAAATATTGGTCTTTCTCTAGGCTTAGACTTTAGCCACTAATCTGTTCATAAACATAACTCTCGTCAAAAATATCAATATAGCCAAATTACCACTTACTGGTAAATCTATATCCCTATGCCTATATTTATCTGTCCAGTAGGAAAAATCCACTTGGATATGTTATATGCACTAAAACTCACACTTTCCTCATACAAGTATCTCCCTTGTTCATATCCCCTGTTCATATCCCTCATTTGGTTACATCATAAGCTATCCATTTTCTTGAGCAACAACTAAATTATATCTGAGGTTCCCCACTGTTTCTCAATTGTTCTATCAAATCTGTCTTGAGGTTCACTGAATTTTTCTTTGCAGTGCTATAATTGGTGATGCACCATCATCACTCACCTAAACTATTAGTTATGTTATTAGTCACCCTACCTTCAGTTTTTCACCCCTGTAAGACTCAATTTGACTATACAAGTACATGAGTAAAGCTATTTTTGTCTCCCAATATCCTCAGACTCCAACCTTATTTTTCAGAATCTGTTACCTCTATCCTTCAGAAAAATTTATTATTTAGTAATTCACATTGAATTTTTGCATATCAACAACAACAACACTCTGTCTCACATGTACTTATTTTGTAAATGATTTTCTCTCTATATGGAATGCCAGCACCACTCCCGTACCCCATTCCTACTGCTGTTCTTCACATAGCTAGCTATATATCTTCTCTCAATGCACAAGTTATCTCTTACCTCTTTCTAATAAGGTTTCTTTGATTTCCAAACAATACTACTTATACATTTATCATAATAAAATACTATAATAGAAATTTTCTCTATTAATGTATCTCCTTGAACTATACATTTGACTATGTATCATATTTTATTCTTTTTTCTGTCTAGTACTTTGCTCAATACCCAATATACAATAGGTATCCATATATTTGAATTGAAATGATTCTAATCATAACTAAGTTTTACAATCAAGAAACCAAAGAATTAAAATTTGAAAAGATGAATTACTTACTGCTTTTTAAGATGAACAAAATATGGTTTTCCTTCTATTGTAATGATATAAGCAATCTATAACAAGAGTATCCAAAAATTTCAGTAAGATTTATAAATAATATATGTTAAATTATGTACTTTTTAGTACTTATATTTTTTTACCATACGATTTATTTTTATTTTTTTTAGTCATACATAACAGCAGAATGTATTTTGACACATAATACATACATGGAATATACATACATCAGTCATAATGTCTATTCTATTCTGTTCCCCTTCCTATCCCCCCTACTCTAGTACTTATATTTTAAAAGACTGACAGAATTAACAATAATATGTAACCATTTTATTTGCTTCCCTAGGTGTATATCTGAGGATTCAGGATCCTGAACCAGTAATAAAGCACCCATTATTTTGCATCATTACATTTCTGGGGGAACACTTACCTGATGTCAACTGTTATCTTTTGACTTAGAACCCACCAGTTCACCCATGCCAAAGACAAATTTCATGATTCACCTCACTCACATTACCTTAATCCTGTCTTGGGGGAAATTCAGTTTTGTTAGCCACTTAATTTCCATATTTGTGGATTCTTATCCCTAAAGTCCTTCATCTTCAAAGAAATAAAGTCTCATGCATATTCACACACATTGAAATGTTCTTCTGTGAAACTATTCTAAGCTGTCATCTCTGCCTCCTGCAGTAGTGTTGTCACATTAAAAAGGCAACTTAACATAATCTAAGGTTTAAAAATATTATTCCCAGGTCAGTAGAGTACAGGGAAGGGAACAGGGGGAAAGAGGAGAGGGAAGAAAAAGTAGAAATACTTTGTCTATTACTGAGACCTCTTATAATTCAAGTAAATTATATTCCATGCTTTTATAATTATGTCAAATGAATCCTAATGTGTAACTAAAATATAAATTAAATTTGCATATATAATAATATGATATAATAATTATATAATCCCCAATTACTCTATTTTCTCGATCGTGTTTTGCATCTGTTGATGAAATCCTTTCAGGAACAGTGGTGTGAAGAAAGCTTTTGTGCGACTCTAAAAATAAAAATAAGTGATTTTATTTTAGTACCTGTGATTTTACATTATTTAATGCTAAGTCTATTTCTGCATTTCTTTCTTTACATTAAATAATCTACACATCTCTTCCTTTCTACCATTTTTCTAGTCATTTTTATCTCCAAATTTCTAAACCCTTTCTTGTGACTCTCTCATTTTATTCTCTCTCTCTCTCTCTCTCTCTCTCTCTCTCTCACACACACACACACACACACACACTTCTGCAGTTTGACAGCTAGCTAAAGTACTTAGTACCAAATTAGTGTTGTGACAGGAGCAGAAATGAGAAAACAAACTGGTTAAGAAAGGGAGGTCATTTGCAGGAAAGCATGTAGATTATCAGATATAGGAATAATCTGCAATTTCCAAATTAGAAAATCATTGAGTTTCTTCATGGTGATTAGTAGAATTTTGTATGGGATGGTGGGTGAGGGAGACACAGTTTTGTCCGTTATGCAGATAAGAACGCTGTCCCAGAGAAGTGAAAATATTCTCCACCAGAGGCAGCCTTTCTGGTTTCACTTTTTGGTAGAAGCAAGCGGCAAGGAGAAATTGCGTGGGAGATCTGGCCTGGATCTGGGATGGGA